TTTTTAATCGGCTTTCATCGTTTCAATGCGCTTGAATTTTCAGAGCTGGGCTCTTCCTAATTTGCATAATCCGTAATCGGCCCGTGGGCATTGCGGCTGCATAATGACCGCTCAGATCTCGCTCTTAGCCAATCAGAGCGCGCGTTATATCGGCCACAAACCAAAGCCATATAATAAATTCCAATAAAATGTCTAAGATCCTAAACCTAAAATTCTAATCCTAATATTATATTAACTTACAACAATATTCTACTTATAAACCTGATTTCCATGAATGCCGTGTGTTTAAAAATTATGATAGAGAAAGCGTTTAAATTGATTTAATGAACCAAACTCTCCCGCATTTCATCCAAAAAAGAAATTGTACCGGACTGGTAGATTGAAACTACACTGTGGAATTTGTCTGTGGAAAACATTTTTTTTTCGCGGTCGGGAGTAAACACGTTGCCAAAAGGCTTCTGATAAAGACGAGTTTTTGATCCTTATCCAAACAAAACACAGCGAGTGCTGTCAAAGTTGTCACTTCAGCAAGACACCTTGCGGAGACGTCATACGTTGCTTGGATTCCAGGTCTAGGTCTAGGTCAAGGTCTAGGTCTAGGTCTAGGTAATTATTTCCTGGACTGCTGTAGTAGAGTATATATAGTGAATATAATAAAAAGAGCACCAAAACCGGAGTACGAGAGTGCCGCGATTTCAAGGGTGAGTGTTGCATGACAGTTTTATTCATTTTTAATTCAGCGAGCGAGGGCAATCAAGAAAAAACTCTGACGACTCACGAGCAAAAATGTGAGCTGGTTCAAATTCCATAAAAACCGCCTAAAAAGCATTAAAGCTGGTGGCGGCCGAACGGGAGCGAGAGTTTGCACTCTTGTCTCGATCTCTTTTTGCGATCTCGATCTCATTTTAAGGTTTTCCTGGATGGTTGCATGGTTGGATGGTTTTAGTACGTGCCGACTTTAAGTTCATCATCGCCTTACCCCAAGTCCAATTTCTGAACAAACAAACAAACAAACAAACAAACAAACGCGTATTTCGATTTACCATTTAGAATTTCAAACATCTGCATCTGTTTTCATTTGTGCAAACTGATTAATGATTTGGAACTGAATAGCAACCTTCGGAGACGTTTTATGCTTTGTCATTTTATCGTAGAAAAATTACTGTTAGCAGGGTTATCCTTCAGTTTAAAATATCAGAGAATATAACTTGATAATCTTGATATCAAACCCAAAACTCTGAAGAAAGAGCTTCAAGATAACAAAATATATTCTACCGTGCAGCGTAAAATAGGGTGTTCAGATATCTGGGTCTCTCTAGAAGTAAGTCGCTCACCCAATCCATTTGCTGGGCCAATAAACCAGATATTATTTCAGTCTTAGAAGTTTCCTTGTCTCTAATCCACTTAAAGATGTAAGAATTAAACTGCCCTCAAAGCGCTCATAGTGAGCAGAAGTGTATCGAGAAAGGCAGCTTTTCCTCTGTCCATTGTTCTATGCCAACACTGCCTGGCGTTGTTTGTTCCTGGAATCTATTTACGTCGCAATGGCGCTTCAGTTAGGATCCACGTAAATCCAAACTTCACAAGTTTAGATATTTTCTGTATCCTTTTCTTGTTTCTGAAACAGTATTCTCTTTAATACAGGAAGTCGCTGTAAACCAACACGACGAACCAAGCCACGGTTTTTCAATGAAAAAAAAAAAATCCTGGAAATGCACCAAGTGTCACTAGGACGTTTTTTCTGTTGTACTTCTTTCAACCTCGTCTTTTTTTTCACAGTTAAGTTCTTTGCCGTTTTAATAGCCTTTCATGCCATGCTAGTAAGGGTGACATCCACGCGCGGCCGTCACGCTATCACATTCTTCTCGCGAACCTCGCGAGTCAACGCTCGTTTTATAACAAAGGTTCAGATCAAAGGCGGACTAACCTGGATCTCTTTCCATTCTACATTCTCAGAGTGATCTCATTTTCTTGCCTCGTGATCCGGCCCTTCACGGAGTTTCCAAAAGAGATTCCAACGTCACGATGTCGGTAGGAAAGTCTTCTTTCAAAATGATTCCTCGTTCTCGGTTGCAATCCAGTTCATCTATGAAGCCAAACCAGTAAATTACCATGCCTGGGCCAAATCTGGAATATAAACAGAACCATCAAACTGTGAATTACTGACAACTGATACGTTAGGCTGGGGTAACGCTACGTTATGTCACGGTGCGTTACATTACATTATGTTACATTATGTTGTTATGTTATGTTACGTTACGTTACGTAACGTTACGATTTTTTGACACGAACGGAAATGCGTGAATGTAAACAGCATTCATCATTTCTTAGGAGCACTTCCAAGAAAGATGACATAGCTTAAGACAGAAACCAATATCAAGTTGGTGACACCACCTCAATCCCTTCAGGTGCGAAATACGGAAGAGGTTTCTCTTGCCCCGTCAAACTGGAATGGGCTAGTTCAGAGGGTGTGTTTTTTAATGTGGTACACAAAACGACAGTTTTTTTTTGGTTGGTACAGGTGGGGTGAGGTATGTATTTTGAAATCTCAGCGGTACATCCTATTGCCGCACTGTTTTGCGGTGAACTAATTCTACACCATAAGCAGTCCCGCTTTTCTCCAATTTAACGTGCTTGAAAATAGCCCTGTAATTTCCCTGAGCGTTATCCCTACAAAGGAAATGGGAGGCTACAACGAATCCCACCGAGGTCAAAAAATTTATTCCGGCTTACGTTGTATGATCTCTCATTTCCTTTCAAGGGCTAAAGCTCAGAAGTTCAGAAAAAATTTACTAGTTTATCCTCCAACACCTTGAAAGAACATCTTCTATTTCAATGGTGCGTTGTGCAGCTTTTCATCCGTAAATCAACTCACCTCTTTTCTCTTTGTTCGTCAAGAAGGAGTGAAATAAACGCAAAATAGTAAAAAAAAAAAAACCATGAGCGCCAAGGGCCAAGACGCGCTTTTTGTACCTTAGCGTTCGCGCTGTTATTTGTTTCCTGTTGAAGCTACTTTTGCTCTTCTTTTTTGTGTTTTAGTGTTACTTCCCTTCTTGCTTGACGAACTAAGAGTAAAGAAGTTCAGCTTGTCTCTCATTTACCTGTTCCAGTAGCTCCAGAACTGATCTTTTAAATAAGTCTGGTGATTATACTCGTCGCCAAAGGACGCCTTGCTTTCAATCCAGTTCACAACGAAACCATCAACAGCTGAAAAGAAAACAAAAATATACAATCAACTCTCTCTGTGATAGGCACGGTCGGAACCAGAATCAACAATCAGCCTTGAAGATGTGTCTACTTTAAATGAAGTAGAGGTAACCTAACACCAGTACTGACGTGAACAAATGGCGCGAAACACCATCTAAGTGCATTATGGGATTGCATTCCAGTCCTCAAACCTAACTGAGTAGTCAAATGAAATGATGCCTAAACTTTTAAAAAGTTACGATGCGAACGTTTGCGCACGGAGGTACTGCAGACAACAGGGGCGGATCTAAGGGAAGGGTGCAAGGGGTGCGCACTCCCCACTGAGATGAAGCGTTCTTCTTCGTATTCGCTTTTAAAATTTGTTTACCTCACCAGTCAGTTACGCCATTCCTTAGTGGTGCACCCCTCCTAAGAAAAATATTGGATCCGCCTCTGAGACAGGAGTTTGGATTAAACTGCGCTTAACAGTAGCTATAGATCAATTTAATTCATTGCCAAACACGTCTGTAACTGACCTCGTTTCTAGTTGCGGAGCGTTACGGGTGAACAGTTCGCTAAAAGTACATTCAGACCTTTTAAAAGATTTTGTATGGTGGCAAATATTGTTACGTTTGATCATCTAGATCATGTTTACTGCAGTATGCAATTGCACTTAGATGCAGCAATAGGCCACGTTTGGCAGTTTTCTAACGAGGTTCCGGGGCTTTCGGGACAAACGTCTACATTTTGGTTCTGTTTTCTTTGTATCAAAGTCTCTTGGGAAATGAGGGACAGAAGAAACTTAACAGATGTGAAATTTTGTCCTGAAAGCCTCAGAGCCATGTTAAAATATTGATGTACCGAACATGCCTATTGACGATAATATGAGGCTGTGAGGGTGAACTAACTTTTTCCTGATAAAAAAAAAAGAAAAAAATTTCCCTGACCAAATGAATACACATGCCCTTACAGCGGTCCTTTCCACTCATTTATTTATTTAAGACTGATAAGTTTTCAACTAAACAAATTCGCCTTCGTCATTAAGAAAAAATATCGCCGAGATCACAGTGACCTGAAATGTCTCTTCCAGTCTGCAATGGTAGTGTTATAATGCCAATTTTCCCTGACTCAAAATAAATTCCTTGACCTTGAAGTATTTCTTCCTGGCCATTACCCGACCTGTGGCAACCCTCTGAGATCGCATGTTTGTCTTTAACACCTAGCGCACGATGCTTACAAACTACTTTTAGGAATGAAAACAAGAATTTTTCATTACGACTTTACCACGTGCCAAATGGGTTACCTGTCGTTTAGCCCCCAGGTCGATTAGCGCCTTGCCGCTTAGTCCCCAACGATCAACCCATTGACACCTAGAGCTTTTTGGCAAAAACGCATTTTTTGGATAATCTTGACATTGTCAACCTGGATATAAGCTAAATTAGCTCCAATCTACTAAAATAAAAAGCCATTGCAACATGACAGCATGCCTGTCTTCCCACTAGCATCGCCATTTACGTCATTTTTGCTCTGACATGCGCAGAAATCAGAATTTTGAGAAAGTGACCAACGTCTTTTGGCTCTTTCTGTTTTTTTTTTTCAATTTCAGTTTTTTTCACCTTTCCTTTTTCTCCTTTTCTTATCTTTTTGCTGCAGTAGTTGACCTTCTTCTGGGCTTGCTTCCAGTTCAAGAATTCCCAAGAGAGCTAAACAGGTTCTTACATTTTAGGGTATTAAAATGGCAAATTTCTGCCAGCAGATTCTTAACCGACTAGATTCTTACACGTGGATTTTTACTGTACCAGCCCATTTTAAATTTAACCACTTTCGCTTGTTTGTCAACACAGCTCAAGAATTTCTTCAGAAAAACATTGCTCACACTTACCAATAGGGATTTCTAGTTTGCAGTCTGGTGTCTTGTCATACCCGCGACTTCTCATGTCATCCTCACCTTTCAAATGAAAACACGGAAAACATATTAAAGCATCGAATACGCACAAGGTTTCAAACAAAGCCATTCTCACCAAGGAAAGGTATGCCACGATTTTGAAGTCTCTCTCGGAGGATTAACTCATATTCATAGCCAATAGATCTGTAGCAACAGTCAAGGAACACTTGTGTTTCACTTTTACATAGCATAGTTGTCCGGTTAAAGCTTTCTTCTCATACTATTTTTAGTATTATGAGGCAACTTGACTTTATTCTCACGTGTTGTTAATGCCGCTTTTAAGAAATAGAGAACCTTTTCCGAGAAATCATGCTGTGGGAACACGAGCCGAAAGGCGAGTGTTTCCACAGCTTTTTCGAGTTCTCTCAAACTTCCACGAATGTTTCTACAACTTGATAGAAACACAGAGAATGTTTTCTGTCTTTTAGAAAACGCTGCGACGAGCAAATGAAAACAATTTGTTTACTTTGATCATCAAAATGTAAAATCTCTTTGCTCGCGCCATCTTCACGTCAACAGCTCGTGCTAGTTCTGTGTTTCTTGCAAGTTACCGAAACACGATTTTTAACCAATCAGCGCGCGCACTGTTTTAGGGCTGTTTTCTAAATTTATTTATTTGTTTGCTGGAGGGCATACTTTTCAAATATTGCCTTCAATCACGAGAACTTGTCTAGAAACTGTTATGAAGAGGTTGACAGGTTGAGAGGAAAAAGTATTAGGTAACTTCAAGCCGTTGTTATGCGGATTGCTTTTGCTTCCACGTGTAAAGGATACCGTTTTATGTTGTCCATCAAGGGTCCATAGTTTGGATCATTGAGTATACACTGAAAGACACAGAGAAGCTTAATTTGTCAACTTGTTTAGTTGTTGCTATACAACAGCAAGTGAGTGCTACCATGTGGAAGCTTCACAAAATAGCACGGTGAAACGGTGGATCAAAATCAAAAGCCCTTTCAACTAAACCAACTGAAGCCCCAGCCAAACGATCGCAAAATTTCAAAACAACATGGTTGGGCGCAACATGTTGCGCGCGTTTGGCTTCCCTGTTACGACGTGTTGGGACATACAATCGAGCCTCCCGTAAACGACCACTCAAAATGTCAAGTCTACGTGGTCACACGGGAGGTGGTCGCTTACGAGAGCTTGGACGATACTGGGTCAAAATTGTGCCTCGTCAGCATATGGCAACTGCAGAGACTTACCCCGTGTTTTAAATGCTTTATTCATGTGAAAAGTCAATTCCGAGGGAAAATTCGGTACTATCAATTGAGAAATTTCCATCTCTTGTGCTACCCAGGAATGCAATGTTGCAACACCTTATCATCCAATTTTCGCTCTATTATCTGTCACGGGAGGTTTAAAACAAAAGAAAATTTCAAACTTTTAGCTTTAAAAGTACAGTGGTCGCGGTCGCTTACGAGAGGTGCTCGCTTACAAGAGGTTCCAAATATAGTGATTTGACTTGGAAACTTTTGGTATTTTGGAAAACTGGTCGCTGAGGAGAGGTGGTCGCAACCGGAGGTTCGACTGTATACAGTTCTGTGTTCTGCAGTACTAAAACTGGCCGTTAGTGATTAAAGAAGCAATCATAATTGCAACCAGCATTAACATTAATATTAATAGTTTCGCTGCAACAAAAAGCAGTGATACGTTTCGTAGAGTTTACAAATGTTTATAACTATCTTTCAAAGTCAAGCCCAAATCCGCCCAATTCCTTTCAAGTGTCCGTTTATGGGAGCTTAAAAACAAAGGAAAAGTCTAGATCGTAAGCCCTCCAAGTGTCCGCGGCCGCTCACGAGGATGTCCGCTTACGGCAATGAGAAATAGGGAGTTCAAACGGGATTTTGTGACGGTGGTCGTAAGCAGAGCTGTCCGTTTACGAGATTGTTCTTTAAGAGTGACTTTGGTCTTAAAACACGTCGGAGAATATCTAGAAAGGCGGCAAAGTACACTAAAAGAGAACTAAAAGCAGGACTGTCGTGTCAATTATCTTGTCAAACTTCTGCTTTTATGGAGTACGTACCAATACAAAATGCATGTCTGAAACACAGTTACAAGTCTCCAAAATGAATGCCAGTAGAGCACATGTTCTTCCGTTAGTTATCGAGGACTCGCTTTACAACACAAAGTTGTCTGTACGGTGTTTCATTCTAGAAAACACCCAGACTATTACAAAATTAAAAGCAATAAAACTAAAAATAGGATTCAAAGTGAGACTAAGGTTAGTATCCATGGTGAAACGCCGTGAAAGCGTTGGTTGGCTTGCAGTCTCACGTCATAGTCATATGGAGGCATTTTCTCGACCAATCGCCGCCTGTTGTGTCAGTTTAAACCTAGGTTGTCGTCAGCTCAGCGCGCTCTATTACGTCACAATGGATTCAGGTATAAAAGGACGCGCGTTGACAAGAATCGTCATTTTCTCGGCGTTGTCTCTTGCAGGGTTAACTTTACGACGCTCGCTTGGCAATTTAGAGATTATGGGCTGCGTATTCAGTAGAAATAAAGCTTTGAGCTTCCGGAAAAGGAGAAAGGTGAGCAAAGTTCAAATAAATCTGAACTTTTCTCAGAATTCGTGAAGAAGTAGGGCTTTTCTACGACTGTTTGTTCAAACGGTTTTTATTTTTAAAAAAAAACCGTTAGGCTTTGTGAGGTCAATGCACACGCCATCCAAATTTGAAATTAGCGCGACATCTGGGACGAAAATGTTTTGCTGGCAACCTAGTGACCAAAATAAATTCAAACCCAACGGTCACATCCGCGTGCAACTTTTGTTGAACACAGAACAAAAGATACGTTCACTGCATAAAACAAAACCGTCTGCATTTTGATCACACCAAATACATAATATTTATTACGTCTGCCTTCCGTAGTAACATTGTTCAAACATCATGGACTGTATTTAGAGGACGCTACTCTTCTTAATAGTTTACGCACAGGGAGCACACGATCTTGTTGAGTAGGAAGAGAGTTATAAAGGAATGAAAAGAATATACAATTTACCTTTGTCTACTGTTGTCATTTCTTACGCGACAACCACTACCTACAAGTCCTACGTAACACTGTAGCGCTAAACTCGTACCTAAGCATTCCGGCCTGCGCTGTGCAAAATTTTTTTTTTGGTTTAAATGGTCTGGATAATAGCAGGCAAGTGACTATTTTTAAGAAATGGACAACAACTTAAGTTTAAAACAAGACATGTTTCGATCGTTCAACGATCAT